AGTGATCTCCCTTTAAATTTCTGTGGTCTTCGATGCCGGATAATACATGTGCACGAACTTGTTGGCCAGATCGTCCCAAGAGGTGATGGACAATGGGGGTTGGGTCTCTAGCCACCTCTTTGCATGCCCCGCCAAAGAATGGGGGAAAAGGTGGAGACGGATTGCATCATCTGGTACACCATTCATTTTGAACCCATTTGTCAGCTGCAGGAACCGGGAAAGGTGCACCCTCAACTCTTCATCCTTGAAGCCATGGATTTGGATAGAGGATGTAATCAGTTGAATCCAGCATGGCTTGATCTCAAAATTATTTGTTGGAATGGGCGGATACAGGATGACAGGGCTGATATCAGTGACCCGTGGAGTGTAGTAGTACACTATAGTAGGACCCGACGGGGGTGGTGGATGATGGGCCCCATCTGCTTGGGGACTCCATTGTTGGCCAGGACTTGATTAACCGGAGGAACCTGTAGGGCATCCCCTGGGGCGGGTTGTGCTCACGTCCATCTCGTACTCCTCCTCAGAATCGCGGCTCAAGTGGTTGTCGATGCGCTCTTCCACCCTAGTTAGTCTTGCTCGTTGTTCTCTACTAAGCTGGCGACAAGTGCGTTCTAGCTCCGGGTCCAACGGTAGTAAACCTCCTGCGGGCGACTAACCTCCTCCGGAGTAAACAGATTGAGGCCCTAACAAACCAAACCTCCTCTACTAAAGTAAATCCAATACATAATGGTGAATTGACTCCTTAACTAAAGTCGTCAATTCACTAACTTCAATCAAGGGTGCTCTATCAACCTAGGTAGATATTCTCTTTCTAGGTCAAAGTAGGAATAACATAAATTTAGACCTCAATTGAATATAATCAATATCAATGAATTCATACTTGGGTTCATACAATCAGACCTAACATACAAGTCTAGGGTTCTTCATACACAGGTGAGTGAGAGAGTTTACTCCATAGAGAGAGAAGGGAAATCTAGCTCAGATGCAGAAAACAGGTTGGGAAGGATGAGATTCTGCTTCTGGTAATCAATCGACACTTCTCCAAGCTTAAGTCGAGCTCCAATGGTGATAAAGATTGATCTAGGCTGCTTGGAGACTCTGGTTCGTCGCTCTCTCTATGTATCTCTTTCTTTCTCTAAAACTCGGAACCCTTGTAAAATTGGCCTTCTTTCCCTCAAAAGGGAGCAGATCGCCATCCCCGGTCATAATACCCAGTCGGTTATTTCAGCTGCCCGGCCGGGTATTTTAAACGCAACGCAGTGGGGAAAGGGAAATACTTGATCGAGGTTCAAAATACCCGATCGGGTATTTTAGCTATCCGGCCGGGACCCTTTCTATAATTCTGGCGTCCAAAACGTGTATCTCCAGCCTCCTCTTGCAATTTACCTGGTCGGGTATTTTCTTCTTCCAGCGGCCCTTCACTCCAGTGTCCTTTTTTACCCGAAAATCGTTTCCATGCCTCCATGTCCACCCAAGTCCTGAAATATGACAATAACGCACAAGCTAGCGTTAAATAGGCTTAAAACACGAGAATTGACTCTCAAATGGCTCAAGAATGGAGGTATAAACATGTGCAATTAATGGTCTATCAAAGACTCAATGTGGGTTTTCATTAAACAATGTCGTTCTCTCTTCTACGACACTGTTCAATTTCGTGTCAAGCTTGCAATTTCACGGCGATATTGAATTGCTCGACCCTCCAACCCAGTCATCAATTTCACCAAAACCGCGCTTTTGTTTGGATTAAACAACGTTGATTTATGCCTCTTCGACAGTGTTTTCAACTAAGAAATGTCGTTTCAGGTACCACGGCGTTGTACACCATGAAACGACAACGTTTTCTACTACGCGTCATCGTTTATGTGCAATTTCTCGCGACATTGTTTTTACTAAACACTGTCGTTTCTTATTACAGCAGTGTCATTGGGGCTTGACTTCTCGTGGTGTTGTTTTAATTTACTAAACACGTTGTTTCTATTCCCTCACAACGATGTTGGTCACGCCACCAACAGTGTTGTTTTAGATCCCTTAAAAAAACCTCTCCTTCTTCAATAAGGAATAAAGAGCACTCCTTTTCCAACCCCAGCACCAACACCAACACTGCAAAGCCGCTCACTACTGTGGCATTGTTGAATCTTACTCACGGTGCCGTTTAACCCCTCCACGACGTTGCTTGTCTATCAATGATGTCGTCTTTATCATGCGGCATCGAATTAAATGCCAAGACTCATTATTACGGCATTGACTTTTGACCAAAAATATTTTAGGTGTAAACAATGCCCCCACAACTTAATTTATAAAGTTGCGAGTGCTTCTATGCTTTTCTCTAAACCATAGTTTGTTAATGCTTTAAGAGTATCCTCGTCTACTTTCGAAGTGTTTGGTAAGCTATATGAAAAGGAGGTATTTGAATTATAAGAATTACTAAAGAAAGGTGTAAAGAAGGATGTGAGGAAAGAGGGGGTCTAACTCCTCTATTTCCATATGATAATTCTCAGTTGGAATGTAAGAGGGTTTATAAGCCCTCAAAACGGTGGGGTTTCTAACAATTCCTACGTAGAAAGGAAGTGAGTGTTGTGGCGATTCTGGAAACACGAGTGCATGATGCAAAATCTTTGGAAGCAACAAGCTGTTTTGAAGGTTGGGAGAGACATCTAAGTCATGAAGCGTCAGATCTGGGGAAAATCAGGTTGTTTTGGTAGTCGGAGGTAAGCTTGATAGTATTGAAACCTGTAAATAATTTTTTGCTGCAGTAGCACAGGATGGAGATGGAAAGTCGTTGGGTTATAGGTATAATCTACCCCTCTATTATGTTGTTTTATCAAATATTCCCCTCTACTATTTTTTTAGATCAAACATGCCCCTATACTTTGGGAAAATTATCAAACATGTCATTTTGTTAAAATTTTCATCCAAAAGATCTTAACCATGGCCAAACCTTGATTTGGGTGACACAAATGTCTAAATTGTCCGTAACAATTTTACTTTAGAATCTTTCGTATATTTTGTATAGCCAAATACCTATAATAATTTCACTTTAACAAGACCTAGATATATAAATCAGAGGTCAAAACTTACATTTTTCCTCTCATTTGTCGATGTCGGGTCATCTAAATCTTGGTTCAACCGTGGTTTACGATTTTTCAATGGAAATTTTAACATAAGAGCATGTTTGATAAATTTTCCAAAGCATAGGGGCATGTTTGATTTAAAAAAAATAGTAGAGGGGCATGTTTGATAAAAATGCTAAATTACACGTTTGGTCACTCAAATTATACAAATCTTTCACGTTTGCCACCCGAATTACTTTTCTTTCTTATTCGCCACTAACTTTACGAATCGTTTCATAGTTCGTCACTGGCCGTTACACTCCGTTAAGTTTGTCCTACGTGGCAGTCAACTATAAAGTTTGACCGTTAACTAGATAACGTGGAAATTAAAAAAAATTTCTTTCCACCTTATCATTGCACTTTTTTTTAATTTCCACGTCATCTACTTAACGGTCAAACTTTATAGTTGACTGCCACGTAGGACAAACTTAACGGAGTTTAACGGCCGGTGACCAACCGTGAAACGATTCGTAAAGTTAGTGGCGAATAAGAAAGAAAAGTAATTCGGGGGGGGGGGGGGGAAACGTGAAAGATTTGTATAATTTGAGTGACCAAACGTGTAATTTAGCCTTGATAAAAACATCATAGTAGAGGGGCATAGTATACCTATAACCCAAAGTTGTTCTTCTTTATAGCAGTATATGCTTCAAATGATGAGGGTGAGAGGAAAGCTACACATCACGAGATGAGTCAAATGAAAGTAGACAGTTGTGCTTGGATAGTGAGTGGAGACTTCAACAAAATTAGAAAGCCTGGAGAAGCATCAATTCATAGTGGCATCACACCTAGTATGAATGATTTTATTGAGTGGATTAATAGAATGGAGTTACTAGATTATCAAACAATAGGATACATGGAGTAATCGGCATAAGCATAGACCACTTGCAAAGAAATTAGATAGAGCAATGGTGAATGAGAAATGGATTGATGACTTCCCAGATTGTAAAATGGAAGCTATGGTATACACATTTTCGGATCACTGCGGAATTTCGGTTACAACTTATCCTCCAGTAAAATCCCTATCGAAGCCCTTCAAATATTTTAAGTTTTGGTCATACCATCCATATTTCTTGGCGATAGTGGAGAAGGCTTGGCCTGTTGAATTTACATGATCACTCGTGACAGTGGCTCAAGTGAAGCATAAGACAGTAAAGCATGCATTGAAAAGTTTAATAAGGAGTTATTTGGTGAGTTTCCAAAGCAAGTGAAAGAGGCAGAGGAACTTCTGTTAGGGGCTCAACTTGAAGCCTTTACTTCAGCATCTGTTGAGAGTATTAAATTGGTTCAGGACTGTTGGAAGAAGTCTGATGAATTGAAGAAGGCAGAATAAAGTTTCTATTGGCAATAATCAAGAGTTTCGTTGCTTTCTCTTGGGGATCGAAGTCCTTCTTTCTTTCATAGAGTTGTTGATCACTTGAATCCGTGCAGGTTATTGTAAGAGGTTAACACGTATAAACAACTATACCATCCTAGGCAAAGTTTAACCTAGAACGACATTGTCGTATAATGGTAATCAAGGTCGTGTTCTACTCAGATCACAGGACCGTAGCCTACTTCCCACATAGTTGCTAATTAGTTAATCGGTTTTTGAGGTTTTGAGTCTAAAGATTGATCAAATCTAAAAGCAGGTAGTTCGCGGAACTATCCCTCCCCCTAGCTTAGGGTCACTATGCATATATAGATACTTATGGTCATCGAATGTGGTGAGTGAGCTCTTTTCCGTGGGCTCTCGTGATTATCCACACGCCTTCAAGTATGCCCTAAACCCATGTTCTAGTCACCTCAATCTAGGATAGCGTATCTGGGGCATTAAGCCTATGAATCATTTCAATGGACGCTATCCACCGTCCACACAGAGGGTTCATTCCGAGTTTCATCTAGGAAGGCTACTTATAGCAGGGGTTCAGTCGCCTCGACCACTATAGGCCTTCGTATCTTAATGCAAGTATTTAATTTATTCGGAGCTATTAGAGCGGGATCCATTTTTTGGGGAATATGAGTCGGAGCAATAACAAGAATATTTCTAGTGGAACATCTTTCACAATCCCTGGAGAGATAGTGCACTAATAGACCGAGGGATAAGTAATTCGACTCGTTCACATCCAGATCATGAATGTTTGGAATCCATATTATGCAAGGAGACATTGCTTTTGCTAATTCGAATTGAAGGGTGATATAAAATCGGTCTATTTCCGGTATCATATCCATAGTTAGCGCATTCATCCTAGTTAGAAGCTCCAGCTCCGTGTCAAGGTCGATATCGTCACTAGCATCAATATCGTCACTATCATCAATATCGTCACTATTATCAATAAGAAAATCCTTAGGCTTGTTATCCATGAACTTGTTTAGAAATACTGTAATGAAAGGAACATAGGAGTTTGTCGCTAGGTATTTGACCAAATAGGATCGTCCAGTTCCTATGAAACCTATATATAAAATACCAATAGAGGGGGATAGGTTAAATCTGGGGCAAAGACGACAGGTGGGGAGGAAGAGGCAAACGCCTCCTCGGAGCTAGGGGAGACGTTCGATCTGGACGTTATAGCGGAATCCTGGCCAGTGGGCACGTCGGAGAATCCGCCGGAAGCTGTACCTCCTTGTAATCATGTTGCTTCCCAGGGGAGGAAGCAGGTCTGGCTAATCGGACCCTACTGGTGAAATCCTATCCATATCAATGGAATGAAGTAATAGGGGGTGACTCTGTAGATACGATCAAGCGGCGCCCCAATGTATGGCTAGAAATATCCTAACAGAAGTGCATTGTTGCCCGCGTAAACTCTATTTCATTTGAAAAGAAATATACTTTCCTCACCCTTTCTGGGAGAGCAAAAACTTTCCTCGATCGGACACCCTCCCTCTCTATATAGTAAGGGACCTTTTCTTGCTAGTTTTCCCAATTTTCTCTGGTGGAAGGAAAATTTATTATCCAAAGCCAGCGGGAAATTACCAGCTATTTATAGACGGTGGAGGAGCCAAGGAGCTATTTATAGCAGGAAATTACCAGCTATTTGTTTTCACTCGACTGTTTGGAAAAGGTGTTGCAGCGAAGAGATTCTCAAACCTTAGCTCTGAATGCGGTTTTAGCGTCTTGCACGGCTTTATGGAATGAGCTGAGGCATAGGACTTTGAGGTCAACGATTAGATATCTCCTTCTTGTCTTTCGTTCTAAGCCTACCTCACTTGTCGTTCGCCTGCTACTTGGCGTTGTAGAATTGTCGTTCTAAGTCATTTAACCAAAGTTGGCCAAGAAGGTTTTGAAAAAAGAAATAGGAGGCGAAGGTTGGTTTAGGCTAAGATGGAGGAAGTGGCAATCCGTCTTCTCAGCAAGTCTTAGCTATTCCCATAAGTCTTCGACTCCCTCCAGATCGTTTGATTTGGCATTTTGAGCAACATGGGCATTACACGACATACAAGTTGGCCTTATAATGCTAAGGTAGGAATGGAACGAGAATCAGAGGCTGTCTGCTGTAGGGATAGGATAGAGTTTCATACTTTCCATGAAGAAAAGCCGATAGCCACTCGCTCTTTAGGGTCATTACAGTTGCTTCCCGCCACCAACACTTACACACAGCTTCAAATAGAGCGTTGTGTGTAAGTGTCCAGAGCGTTTTACTAACCTAATGATCTCCTGTGCAAGCAGATGAGCTCCGATACAATGTTCTTTAGTTAGACCATCCGTGACCCAGAGGATTACTTTATTAAAGCGTCAAAGGCTGTCTTTCGGTCACCTACGTTAACTGATAGCTGCTTATTTTGTTCTATTACCTAGGGCCTTCTTCATTCGCTTGGAATAGCATCTGGATATGTAACAAAGAGAATGACGGCTGAACCTCCTTGATTCCTTGAAGAAGGTATCAGTCTATCCTATTGAGATTAGCAGGAAGAAGAGTCGAGTGTTTAAGTCTGGCCCTCGACGTGCATCATTTTGATGAAATCACTAAGTCTGGTAGACTTCTGCACATGAAACATGAAAGGCGTAATGATTCAAGATATATTCTGTCAGCTGCTGAAAAGAAAGAGGCTACAGAGGCCGGTCTAAGGTACCTGAACCAAACGACCGCAGGACATAACGGAACAAGTCTGGCCAACAAGCAACAAGCATAGGAGTGTACTCAAGTGTAAGCGAACGCTGTGTTCTATAAAAGAAAGAGAATAGTTACTGGACATTCTTTAATCAAATGCGGATTTTGCCTAAAACCCGAAAGGTAAGAAGCCCTGGGATTAATTCCCGTAGAATTTGAAGGGGAACTTCTTCCGTAGAGGATACAACTGATGCCGCCGTCCTATGTATGTTGCTCCTCATCGCATCGGATTGGTACCGCGGGATAATCTCAAATTGAATGTTAGTCTCCGATTCTCCTTATTCATTTCATGCTGAAATTGTCTCCAAAAAAGGAGATACAATCTAAAAGTTACCACAGCTTGAGGTAAATTTGATATTTTTTTTAATCATTCCCTTCAATTGAATTGAAAAAGCTTAATGCCCTATCCTTCCCTAGGGCGAAATGTTGTGATACTTTTTTGACCCATATGCAGGATATAAAAGAATACACCTAGAGATACTTAGAATTAACAGTGAATCCAAGACAACAACAGAAAGGTTTAAATCGCTTCGTTTTCTATTTTGTATTTAAGATCTTGTATATCTAGTTAATTATGTATCTATAAAAAATATAGAATAGAACTAGAATCTTTGTATTCGGCTCAATCCTTTTAGTAAAAGATTGGGCCGAGTTTAATTGCAATTCATTCAATTAAGGGAACAAATGTCAATTAGTAGATTACAAGGTATCCACTGCTTCGTATTCAAATTGAATCTCCTTCCATACTTCACAAGCAGCAGCCAGTTCAGGACTCCATTTGCTAGCCTCACAAAAAATTGAATTACCCTCACGAGCAAGATCACGTCCCTCATTACGAGCCACGGGATTAACTACGGCACCGGGTGCATTTCCCCAAGGGTGACCTAAAGTTCCACCCCCAAATTGTAATACGGAATCATCTCCAAAGATCTCGGTCTGAGCAGGCATATGCGAAACGTGAATACCCCCCGAAGCCACGGGCAGGACTCCTGGTAGAGAGACCCAATCGTCGAGTTAAATAAATACCATGGCTTAGATCTTTTTCAATAAAATCATCACGCAGTAAATCAACAAAGCCCAAAGTGATCTCTCTTTCCCCTTCGACGTTTACCTACTACGGTACCTGAGTGAATATGATCTCCACCAGACAGACGTAATGCTTTAGTTAGTACACGAAAGTGTATACCATGATTCTTATGTCCATCAATAACTGCATGCATTGCAAGATGGATGTGAAGAAGTAAACCATTATCTCGGCAATAATGAGCCCAGCTAGTATTAGCGATGAATCCCCCTGTTAAGTAGTCGTGCATTATGATAGGAACTCCCAATTCTCTAGCAAATACAGCCAGCCCTTTTGATCATTTCTTCGCATGTACCCGCGGTAGCATTCAAATAATGCCCTTAGATTTCCCTTGTTTAAGCCTGTGCTTTATAAACTCGTCAGTTAGCACATACCCGTCTAACCCTAGAACTCCATACCCAGTGCGGTAACATAAGGTAGCCTAAGAGGGAAGATAAGGGCAAATTACCCAAGCATCATCATTTTGAAAAGAGTGGCATTAAAATCAACTAGACAAACACATTCATTCATTCAAACCCTAAAATATCCATATATACATAGTAAATGGGTAAATTGCAAGGTTAGTCACTGAAAGTATTAAAAATTCACGTTTGGTCATTAAAAGTATTTTATTCCATTCATGGTCATTAAAAGTGGTTAAACAGAATTGTCAATTCACTCTTTTTTAACCCTTCATGTCAGACCCTTTGCATAAACCAACCTAATCCAACCACTAACCCAACCCGACTCGACCCAGCCCCAGCCACCACTACCGCCGCCTGCCATTCTGCCTTCCACCATCGTAGCCTTGAGTCTTGACGCCGTTCTCCTACACTTTTTTTGCAAACATCGGCGCCGCCTAGAGTGGCCACTCAATCTTCCCTGCGATTGACCATCATCTCTCAATCATTAGAAAGAAAACCCCCATTTCCCAAATCCAACATTCAACACAAACAAAACCCAAAAATGGACAAACATGAACCAAAAAATGGAGTACTTGGATTCAGATGTTACCATCAGAAAGCTAGAGAGAAATCTCTGAATTTAGATCTCGGGTATTCTATTTTCAGAGCCGAGTGCTTGAGAACTCACCATTTTCGAACCCTAATGAACCATCCTCGGTGGAATTTTGCTTCTGCCGCAATGAGCTCCTTCCATCCTTAGGTTCCTTGGCTTTCTCCTCCACCTGCTGCTCAAGAACTGGAGCGCGCAATTCAGTCACCGGTGTAGCCGTACTTGACGACAATTATTTTCCCCCGAATCGGTTGATGGAGGGGAAGGGATTTGGATAATATCTCGACCTTGACCCGCTCAAGGGATTTGGGTTGAGATGCTTAGCCGGAGGGGGAGGAAACTGCTCGGGAGATTGTTTTGTGTCATGGAAATTCGTGGATTGGAGGATTGAGGGTGTTAGGGATTTGACGACGGAAGGAGGAGGATTGAAGGTTCGATTTTTTTGGGTTTCGTGGTTCGAGACGGAAGGGGCAAGTTATGGTTTGGTTTGGGTTGTCTGATGTGCCGGATTATGCTGATGTGGCGGGTCGAGTTTTATGAGGTGGCAAGTTAAAATGAGTGAATCAGCATTTATGTTAGCCACGTCATCAAAATACTAACGGTGTTAACAGAGGTTGACGGAGAGTGACCAAACCTGAAACGTTTAACCACTTTCAATGATCACGAATAGAATAAATACTTTTAGTGACCAAACATGAATTTTGTAGCACTTTCAGTGACCAACCTTGCAATTTACCCCATAGTAAATCCTAAAACTAGGGTTTGTGGTTTAGGACCCGAAGTACCTTAGAGGACTACTCCATAAAGGAGGGAAGAAGATACATAATAGAAATAGAAGAAGACTTGGGGTTGAAGAAGATGCCTTCTTGCTCCTAGATCCTCCTTCTCCTTCTCTTCTCCTTCCTTTAGCTTCTCTCTCTTCTCTCTATAGAACCAGAAAATTTCTCTCAAAATCAGCTCTCCTAAAAGGGGGAAGGGGGTCTTCTATTTATATGCAATCTGGACTCGGGGAAATTCGAGGCCTAAGTAAGAGAGATCGCGGGCGGGATCTTCTATGGATAGGTCGTGATGTCAAGAGGACGTCATCATGGCCTTCTGAAGGGGGAAGATTGCGGGCTGACTATGTGGTCGCGATCCGCAAGTCGTGGCGGGGATCTTCCTCACGGGCAAAGTGAACGTTGGTTGTGATGCGACTGGGGAAACTCTCTGCTCCTTCCATGCGAAGTTTGCTCCCTTGGCCTCCAAGATCATGGTCAGGATTTTAGGCTTCTGGGCCGCGATTATTCAGCTCATCTTTGCGGCTTGTG